AAGGTAAAGGTTGGGCAAGGACACACTTACCCCAAGATCCTTATTGATCAACTTTCCGAGCTTATTCGGTGCCTCTTCTCCAGCTTTAGGATCTACTGCTTCAATTACGGCATTTTCCAGAACTACAGTCCATTCTTCGGCGTGACCGACGGCTCGGGCAATTTCGAGCTCGAAAAGGGTTCTGGAAGATTAGCCTGAGATCAGCATCACAATAATAGGTTTTGGAAAAAAATTCACTCAACATTAAGCCATCACAACTATAGGAGAGAAAGCTGACATAAAGTAAAGATGAAAAAAAAGAAGAAGATGTTCACTTGCTCTCCAACATGGAAGTACTTGATGTCATTATTAATAAAGCAATAAATGGCAATTCCACACTCCATGTCCTTCCCAACCAATCAAACGATATCTGAAAAAAAATTTTGGTACACAATAGCATGAAAATTAGGGGTGTTTGAACTTCTCGCTCATCGTTCATTCCTACTCTTTCACTTAAAATTTTTTGCCTAGAGTGAAGAAACACTATAGGTAAAAATGTTCTTTCTGTGACAGACTAGAGGTAAAAAGAGAGACATATTGAAAGGTGATCTCTCTTGACTGTAACAATAATTAGAGTGAAAAAGGGAAATGTTGAAGATAAAATTACCTTTGCTTTCCTTATCGCCGGAGATGCTGTCAGTCCTGCATCCATCAATAAGCATAGCACTAATTCAAACGTATATCGAGCACAGACACCAAGTGGAGGAATATTCACGATTACGGCTGACGACCACTCACCGTCCGAACCCTGAAATAGCCATATCCACCAAATAAGACGTATGTGGGATGAAATAGTATTAGCTGCTTGCTCGTCAATCAAAGAACATTCAGGATTAAAAATAAATTACACCCGCACAGTAAGACTATTTCGATTTGCTTACCAAAAACTCTATACTCTCGCCCGGGTCTGCACGAACATCAATTTTGGAATAATCAATAGACGATCCTGCTTCAACAGTGACATTCACTCGTTGAACAACACCTGCTAGGAGATCTGAAAGAACAATGTGACAACCAATTCCATCTTAGAAACCTAAATGTAAACCTTTGCTATCGTCTATCCACAACTTATTGGGGGTGCTCTGCACAAACACTGTAACAAATCGCCTTGTGGTAACTTCACCAATGTCAATGGATAACGCTCCATCGAACAACGTCGCCTCGACGCAATCCATGATAAAACAGCCACGCGTTTTCGCCGTAGTAGAAACAGTCTTTTAAAAAATTAAGCAATATGCGGTAAGGTGCAAAGAGATGAAAGAGACTCACAATTTCATTTTGGCCCGGCGCTAAATCTTGGTTTGAGCAAGTAAGGAGTAGCTCCTCGGTTGCTCTTGTCTCGACAGGTGACTTCAAGCTGGATTGAGCTTTTCGATGTTGCTTTTGTAGTGTCACAATACGACATACTTGTTCGCGTTCCTAAATATATTGAAACATGATACACAGAATTTTAGTCGCATGACATAGTTTCTGAGACTCGAGGGCAAAAATAAAACCTACGTTATATTGAACATCATAGACAGGTTGTTTCCGTCTCGACAGCACGTGCTTATCCACTTCTCTCAATTTCACTCTCAGACAAAAATTCGCAATCGAAATTGGAAGCGATGACGTTATAATGAAATCCATAGAAGCTCGACCGTTGGGAATTTGTACCAACGGTGTAAAACCACAGA